GTCTCTCTTGCTTCCAGCGAAGATAATCATCCCGGTTGAACTTGGTGAAGCCCCTAAGTTGATAGACGCAAACTTGGGTTATCAACTTTGGATGACCGAAGAAAATAGCATATCGTACCATTTTCGGCTCACGATGATCTTTTGGCGACCCGGGAACTTAAACTTTGCTCGCCGGAGAGCCTCTTGAGCGTGGGCGCTGTTGTGATCCTTGCAGCGAACGGAGAGGAGAACTTGACCGATAGCTACTCGTGCGCAAGTCCCTTGTGGCTTTCCAAATGCTCCTCGCATTCCAGTTTGGAGCCTATAGAACAGTGATGAACCCCAAAAGAAACATCGAAAGAAAGGATCTATCGATCAAAGAAAGACCTGTCAGCTCCAGCGCACGAGAGCATCTTGTTGATTCGCAGGACGTGGTAAGGATGAACTCGAACGCGCAGATGAAAGGCGTCCTTTCCAGCGTACTTGGCCATGTACTTGTTGCAAGCGATGCGCGCGGCCTCGAGCGCCTCGCTCGACACATTCTCCTTCTCCCAGCTCACCAGATGGACGCAAAACGAGAACTCGTCCACGCCCTTCTTCTTCGCCCCCACATCGTAGATCCGGATCTTGGGGTCGGGCACGCCGCGGCAGTAGCGCGACTTCGGGTAGGGCTTGTTCTTGATCTGGCGGTAGCAGCGCGCGGGGCCTGGGATCACAGCAAAGAACCAAAGATCAAGAAACCGCGCCAAAATCCATTTCAAAGCTCTCATTCTTCAAAGAATCGATTCGAGGCGCCAAGAGAGTGAATGGAAATCGAGGAGGAGGAAGAATGTAGCTAGATCTTACGGCGTCCCATGGCAGCGCAGCAGCCGCAGTGAGAAATCCCACTTCTCCTAGCGACGAAGGGAGGATCCAAGAACCCTAAATATGGGCCAAGTATAGAAACGTTGGCCAGGTGTGCAGTGCCGCATTTGTGACACGTGCACACACCCAAGCCGTTGCTAGTGACGCGCGATCCGAGGGTTGTGAGTTAATGGCTATGGCGTGTAGTGTCTCTCCTCTATGCGGCGCCGCCAGGAAGCCGCCGAGGAATGGCATTGGCATTGGCATTTGCAGCAGCAGAGCGGCGAGATTGCGAGCGAGAGCGGCGTTTCCACTGCCCGCCGAGTTTGGATTCGTGGCGCTCACAGCAGCATCCAGCGCTGTTCTTACGCAATGGCAAGCGGTCCAGGTGAGAATCTACATTACATTCTAGCTGATTGATCCCGCGAGTGACTGCGCTCCTTGATTCGATCGATCAGGTGGGAATCCAGCGGCGAAAAGTGGGATTGAAATATCCACAGGTGGGATTTTTGAGTGATCCTAGTGATCAAACTTGAACTTTTTCGTGCATGCATGGCACAGATGTACGAGGATGCCGAGAAATCTGTGTTTAATTGCTACCAGCGAGCGCATCAAAACACGCTCGAGAGCTACCCGGCATTTCTGGCGCTGCTGCTTGTGTCGGGCTTGGGCTACCCGATCACCGCGTCCGTGTGAGTATTCTGGAAACTCTAGCCTTGTTTCAGCTCGATCGGCTGTGAAAAAATCTCTTTTTCTTCTCTCGGATTGATGCAGCTTTGGAATGGTATGGGTGATTGGACGCGTCGTCTATTCGCTCGGGTGAGTGAAATCACTTAAATCTGGATCGAGAAGTTCTAGTTTTTGGCTTGATCTTCTTTGATTTTGTGTAGATACTACACCGGCGATCCAAACAATAGATTCAGGGGGATCTGGAATGCATTTGGATTGCTGGGTCTCCTCGTCACCTCGATCGTGTTTGGAAGCAGTCAGGTCGCGGCCATTTTCTTCCCTCGCGTCTCGTAAACAAAAGCTTGTAAGTTTTCTCTTTGTCCGATTCCCAGAATTTGGGAGCTTTCTATAGTCTATTCCAAAGCATCGAATATATGGTTTCACGGCGCCGGCACCAGGTTATATTCCATCCATCCGCGGCTTGCTTTGACGACGCATTCACAAAGTAGACATACGCCATGTTACGTACGTGGAAAAACTTGCGCTGATGTTGTTTCTAGATTGTAATTTAGTCCAGGATATACAAATCTTTGAGAGACGTTTGATTCCATCCAAAGTGTTGGGCATGCCTAGTTTAATTTTGACATTGGCGATCAATCCATCCAGCTAGAGAGGCCTATCCCAGAAAAATTGGCACAAAAGTTAGGGATTACGATCGCGAGAAAGATACAGGATTGACTTCCTCGCCACTTATGATGGAGACCCGCGTTGAGTAAGACGAGTGTGCGATTGACTTGACCCGGTAAGAATATTCCAGAGGCGCCACCGTGGCAGCAGGGCTGACGTGGTGAATTGCGATTGGCCGCACGCCTACGCCGACTGAGCCGCCGTGGCACGCGGAGACTGTGTTGCCCGCTGCCAGCTCACCGCGCCCACGCGGCCTTTATGTCGCGTTCACACGGGCGCGGGGTTTTGTGGTTTTGGGATTATTGTAGCCATAGTTTCGGCGAGGAAGCGTGGAGGAAATTTTCAGCAGGCTGGGAGGAGGTTTCGTGGGCGCTGCTTCGCAGGGTTCAGATTCGTCCTCTCCGCGCATCGCAGCCAAAAATCTCTGCGGAGGCGCTGCTCGCGCGCAAGCTCACGCGAGAGGAGGGAATTCTTCCCAATTCCGAGAAGGATCGGGAAAGCGCACGCTAAGGTTTGGGGGTTTTGGGGATCCAGATGTGAATTTCGCGCAGCAATGACTGATTCTTCGTGTGTCTTGGTGGTCAGGACTCAGGTCTGGGGCAATTGGAGAGATTCTAGGTATGACGCTTAATCCGAATGCGCTGAGGGAGAAGAGGCCGCTGGAGAAGCAAGCCAGCTTCAGCAACAGGGATGGATTGCCCGAAGAGAAGAGGCAAAAGTCGCTTGCCGGGTAAGAGAAGATATGACCAAGTCCAATTCATCTCGCAATAACATTTCTTATCTAACAGGGTCATATTCGAAGCTGTGAAGATGGATAGCATGCAAAAGCTGTGTACCTCTCTGGAACCTTTCCTCCGCAAAGTTGTGAGTTTCTTTCTTTTTTCTGTTTCGATGCCTTGACATCAAAGTTTTTTTTTCCTTTCTTCTGTGAGATCAGGTTGGTGAAGAGGTTGAACGAGCTCTATCAAAATTCCCATCTTCAAAACTGGGACTAAAGTAAGTGCTAGATCTTTCATCTCCTTTCTCTAGATTTTGTGGAAGTTCTGATCGAGGATTACTCCAGAGCTTCGCCTCCAAAGAAGATCCCCGGCCCGAACGACAAGATGTTGAGGTTGCAATTTAGAAACAAGCTCGCGCTTCCGCTTTTCACGGGTAGCAAAGTAGAAGGCGAGCAGGGGTCGAGCATACATGTGGTGCTCCAGGATGCAGCCACAGGTCAAGTTGTCACGACTGGACCCGAAGCTTCAGCAAAGTTAGATATCGTAGTTCTGGAAGGCGACTTTAGTGTTGACGATGAGGATGACTGGACGCAGGAGGAGTTTGAGAACCATGTTGTCAAGGAGCGCGAAGGCAAGAGGCCTTTGCTTACGGGAGAGGCTCACTTGACATTGAAGGAAGGGGTGGGAGCGCTTGGGGAGCTCACCTTCACAGATAACTCGAGCTGGATCAGGAGCAGGAAATTCAGGCTTGGGGTCCGGATGTCGGGAGCTAGCAGCGAAGTTCTTCGTATTCGAGAAGCAAAGACAGAATCGTTCACAGTGAAAGATCACAGAGGGGAACGTAAGTTGGCCACTTAACTGTTTCTTTTTTTTGTTTGGTTTTGACATGCTGCTTACCGATGTTACGTGCGCTCTTGTGCAGTGTACAAGAAGCATTATCCACCTGCATTAACGGACGAGGTGTGGCGTCTGGATAAGATCGGAAAGGACGGGGCTTTCCACAAGCGGCTGAATCAAAACGGGATACAGTCAGTGGAAGATTTCCTGCGAATGGTTGTCATGGACCCTCAAAAGTTGCGCAATGTAAGCAAGCGCTACTTCTGTTTCTACTTAGAAGAGTTTTTTTAGTTTGTGGACAAGCTAAAACGTTGTGCTGAATCTCAGGTGCTGGGAAATGGAATGTCCAACAAGATGTGGGAAGGAACTGTGGAGCACGCAAAGACATGCGTGTTGAGTGGCAAGCTTCACGTCTACTATGCGGACGAGAGACATAACATCGGAGTCATTTTCAACAACATTTTCCAGCTGATGGGATTGATCGCCGACGGCCAGTACGTGTCCGCAGATTCTTTGTCCGACAGCGAAAAGGTCTGAATCCTCATTTCTCTCTTACGGTTTTGCCAAAACTTAGTTCGTCTTCCACAGGTTTACGTGGACAAGCTCGTCAAAGTCGCGTACGAGAACTGGGAAAGGGTGGTGGAATACGATGGCGAGGCACTGGCAGTTCCAAAGCCTCATATGCTGCGAGGCCTCGACGCTCACACGGAAGATCCCGTTCCAGGCCGCCAGAGCTCGAGGCAACAGCAGCAACAACAGGGACTGCTTGGAAACCAGCAACAGAGACCCGGATCAGCCGGGAACCTGGGAAGATACTCGTCCTACATGCCGTGATCACGAAGCGTTTCGATTGTTCGTAGCTAGCTAACGTCGAGAAGATCGAGAAGAGTGGCAGCAGCGGCAGCTTTCGTTGGTTCATCAAGTAAGCGCTCCTCGAAGTCGACAGGTCTCGTTTTTGTGCCTCTTTTGTGCTGCGCTGCTCGTGATTTTGGTACAAAATCTGTACAGAGGGATCTAGAGATACATTTCATTACAGGAAGAACAAAAAAAAAGAAAAACAAAGAAAAAAGAAAAGAATAACGAAAACCAAAGCTTGGTCACCAAAAGACGAAGTCATTCTTCTTGGGACGCTTGTTAGTAATTGGAGGTGGTGTGATCTTTGGTTGTTCTTCTTCCAGTGGCACCAAGATCTTCTCCAGATCATTCCAGTCCACTTCTTCCTCATCGCCATCCTCGTAGACGATCCAGTACCACTTGGTTTCCTTGTCGTAGCTCCTTACTTCACCGTTGTAGAGCTTCCGGCCGAATCTCTTCCTCACTTTGCGCCCTGTGAATTGGTCGAGTTCTTGCGATTGTGATGTAGTGGTAGCGCCTGGCTGTGGATGTGGATGTGGCTGGAGCTCGCTTGTGCCCTCTAGCTCTCCTATCGATCTCTTTGTGGCACTCACAGCATTTTGATCCTCGGCCTTCTCCATGCTCTTTTCTTGCTGGAAGCTAATCGATTTCTTGGACTTTCATAGCCGAGTGTCGATTCATTTCACATTCTCCAGTACCTTGAGAGGAAGAGAAATGTGAGCGCTATGGCGCGGCTCTCTCAATCAACTCGCCATAGCCAAGAGTGCGCCCGCCCTGGGAAGCGAACGGTTGAGATGTCGTTGGACCAAATCTAATCGCCTGATTTGAAAAAGAGCTAGGGTTTAAGTTAGGGCATGCAATGGCGACGGCATTCGCGGCAATGGAGGTAGGCCTCGTGTAGACTGTTATTGATCGGAGAAATGGCTGCTGGAGCGAATCCAAAGGAGAAGCCTCGATCGAAGAAGAAGAAGGTAGCTCAGGAATTAGAGAATGGAGCTCTAGAGGAGGCGCCGAAGCAGAAAACGAAGAAAACGAAGAAAGCTGACGATGCAAGTGAGACGCCGATAGCTGGGGACGGAGATTCATGCTTGGAGAAGCCTTCCAAATCTAGGAAGAAGGCCAGGAAGAGCACGGAGGCTGAGGCCGAGCAGGATCAAGACGCTGAGGTGCCAAGGAAGAACAAGGCAAAGAAAGGAAAGTGTGAAAAGGCAGAGAGTGAGGATGCCAAGCAGAGTATAGCTGAGGATGTAGAGCACGATCGAAAGGAGGGGGAAGAACAGGTTGCTAAGCAGCCGGAGGTACCGAAAAAGAAGAAATCAAAGAAAAGGACAGAGGAGTCTTCTGAGAAAGCCAATTCTGCTGAGGAAGTAGAGCCGGGGGTACCAAAAACAAAGAAGAAGATGGAAGAGGCTGCCACCAATGCTGAGGAAGGAGAGCCGGAGGTACCAAAAAAGAAGAAAACGAAGATCAAGATGGAGGAGAAGGAAGAGGTTGCTAAGCAAGACAATGCTGAGCCGGAGGTCCCGAAGAAGAAGACAAAGAAAAGGATGGAGAAGGAAGAGGTTGCTAAGCAAGCCATTGCTGAGGAAGTAGAGCCTGAGGTTCCAAATAAGATGAAAACGAAGATGGAGGAGAGCGACGAAGCTGCTAAGCAGGTTAAAGTCGATGAAGTAGAAACCGTTGCTCGTGTGCAAAAGAAAAGGAAGGCGAAGAAGGCCAAAGAGGAGAGCGAGCAGGTCCCCGAGGAGGCAGCTGGAAGTGGAGAGGTAGCAGAGTCAAAGGATAAAGGGAAAATGCCGATGGAGGTGAGTGACGACGCTACGAAGCAGGTTAAAGTCGTTGCGCAGGTGCCAAAGAAAAAGAAGGCAAAGAAGACCAAAGAGGATAGGGAGCAGGTCCCCGAGGAGGTCGGAAGTGGAGAAGTAGCAGAGTCAAAGGATAAAGCGCAAAAGAAGAACGAAGAGGACAGTGACAAAAAGAAGACCAAGCAGCGCGTTGGTGATGACGAACTAAAGCATGACGGGAAGCCGAAAAAGAAGAAAACAAAGGAGGGGGCCTTGAGTAGTGCTCCCGAGCTTGCAGAGACGAATTCGATGAAGGAGCCCGAGGTTGCGGAAGAGGTGCCGAAGAAAAAGAAGCGAAAAACTGGAGGTGAGAAGCCGGATGTACCGGAGGTTGACGAGCCCAAAGAAAAGAACTCGGAAATTGACGGGGAGTCTGAGAAGGCCAATGAGAGCAAGGAGAACACAGATGGTGATATTGCATCACAGCACGACACTGAGTGGAAGAGAAAAAAGGCAAAGAAGGAGCGTGAGAGTGGTGGAAAGAAGTCGAAGAAGAGTCCTGATACTGAGACTGAGACGGAGCCTGAGAAACAGAAGACGGTGAACGAGACGAAGAGCCTAGTCGAGAGTTCGGAGCTTGCGGACATACCGAAAACAAAGAAGCCGAGAAAGGCGAAAGAGGATGCCAACGGAAATGCGAACGCTGGGAGCATGCCACTCGAGAAACCTGAGGCACCGGCGAAGAAAAGGAAAGCAAAGAAGGGGACGGAAAAGAACGAGGAAGAGAAACCACTGAAGGAGTGCTCTGCGACTGTGCCACCCGAAGAGCCAGAGGTCCCGAAAGTGGAAGATGAATCTTCTGACAAGCGTAGGAAAAATCGAGGTCGTGCAGCGGATCAAAACGGCAGCGAGTCTGACAGTAAGAAGGTACGTGAAAGCCCGTTCCTGTCATGTTTCTTTTCTAACTCCGTGTTCTTCGTCTAGCCGAAAGCTTTCCAGAGAGTGGATTCCTCGCAAGTAAGTAGGCTTTCTAGAACAAATCGATTGAACGCTAACGCTAAACACTGCTCTACAGGTCGAGTTTGTAGATTCCAGGCTCCAAGACAATTCATACTGGGCAAAGGTAACTCTCACAGGCTAGCTTGTGTTAAACGTCTTTGATCTGTGCGCTCGTTTCGTGGCCAGAGTGGTGCTGAGACGGGATGGGGTGCCAAGGCCCAGGAAGTTCTCGGTCAAGTGAGAGGAAGGTAAGTTCCATAGCTAAGTTTTTAACAAAGTTCCATTGCTCTAAGTTTTAACACCTCCTCCAGGGGCTTTCGACACGAGAAAACGAAGAAGAAGCGTGGATCTTACCGTGGTGGTACCATCGATGGAGCTTCACACTCCATCAAGTTTGACTATGAGGAGGATTAAAGAGACAAAGAGGAGGTTTTATTGCTCTATCGGAATTGTACGGTACTTAATACCAAATTTTTTGGAATATGCTCGTCTCTTTGAGCGCCAAGGGAGGGTTTAGGGTTCCTGGCAGCCATGGCGACGAGGCCCGTGGCGTGCGAGCAGAACGAGGGCTTGGCGCTCTACATCTACTGGAAGCGCGAGGAGCTGATGCAGAAGCCCAGCTTCAGCGACAATCTGGATGCCACATTCACGACGGCGTACAGGAATGTGTGCGATCACAAGGCGCCGATTTGTACCCTCAAAGAGGCTGCCAAGGTCAGGTGAGTGGCAGAGTTTCTAGCGTTTTTCTTGTCCGATCGTTGCCATTCCAGAGGAATTGGCGCTTGGATGCTCAAGCAGCTCAAGGATTTTTTCGCTGATGGTTTGGAGCACGCTTCTCAAGAGGATGTTTCACAATGTATGTGAATTTTCTACTCTTTTTCCTTGTGATTTTCTTGACCAGGAGAGATTGACGCAGCGAAGAAGAGGAAAACAACGAGAAGATATTTACCACAGAAGAATTCAGCACCATATGCGTTATTAATCACTTTATACGGGTACTTTAATTCTAAAATGCATCGATCACTTCCATTCTTTTTGCTTTTGTTTGAACAGAGGCTTTCTAAACGAAGGGAAGTCATACATGATGAAGCAAGAGCTCATTGACGCGGCAGAACTTAGCGGACTCTCTAAGATGCAAATTCAGTAAGAATTGGCTTGTTTTTTCTTCCTTCTTTTCCTGTATTTTTGTCAGCTCACAAGCTGTAGACAGGCCATCGAACAAAAACTCAACTGGGAGTGGGCGATTTGGTGACTCTACCAAGGACTGGTACTCGGGCTGGTCGTCCATGAAGACGCTTATCTCGAAAGGACTTGTTGTCAAGTCGAGTTGTCCCGCGAAGTACGTTCTCCATGTTTTGTGGCCTCACTGGAATTGATAATGCGTGTTGCAACAGGTACATGCTGACAGAAGAAGGCCATGAAACTGCAAAGGAGTGTTGCCTGAGAGGTGGTTTGCTGGATGCTTCCACAACATCAAACCAGACTTCTAGTCAGGCCCAGCCTACAAATGCTTCTCCTTCCGCAGATCAAAACTCGTCCCAAAACCAGAGTTCTTCTCCAGTTTGCACTGTGAACCGAAATCCAGGTCCAACTTATGCTGCTGTTGCTGCTGCTGCAAAGGCACCTACCATAATGCGGTGTGAGCGGCAGATAAAATCGAATGAGACTAGGCTTCATGGTGCGGGTATGGCTTGTTCTATAGCATGTCTCAATCGTCCCTTACCTTTTATTTCGTTTCTTACCAACTTTGCAGATCAGGCAACACCAGTCACGGGTAGGCCTTTATTTTTGTCCAGGAGGATAATTTCTAAGTCTGTTTCACGGCAGGAACTGGAGCAAGCATCGGCAGCACAAAATCCTGTCTTGCTGTTCCTCCTCTGAGTGAGGGCGAAAGTTTCGCTAATGTATACAGTGTTATCTTGATTTTGGATGACAGAGAATGCTTTACACGCGGTGGTAGGGGGTAAGTCGTTCCTGCCATGCTTATGAGGTGGTTCTAAGCATTGAGTTTCAGAACTTCGAAGTCAATGTTTGCCGAACGGTTGCGACAACAATACAAAGTGGATGTCGAGGTAAGCTGCGTTTGATTATATGCGTGGTGTGCTCGTGTTTGAGTTTTTTCTCTCCTCGTTTTTTAGGTGAGACATCTACCAGTTGGAGACGCTACGTGGGTGGCGTACAACAAGCTCACGAGGCAGGAGTTTGTATTGGACTTCATCGTGGAAAGGAAAGCGGTCGATGACCTGTGGTCGTCAATCAAAGATACTCGTTACAAGACGCAGAAACTAAGACTATTGGTAAGCGCGACGTTCATTGCTCAGCCAAGCGTAACTTTTTTCATTGCGAACAGCGCTGCGGGATAACCCGGTTAATTTATCTTATTGAGGGCGATCCAAATCTGATAGACGGCGCGGAAAGCATTAAAACTGCGTGAGTTTTTTGTTTCCTTTGAGGCTCACTCGTTTATCATCGATAACCAGAGCTCTGACAACCGAAATACTTGAAGGATTCGACGTCCAGAGGACACGAGACACTCACGACACAATAAGCAGATATGGAGAGCTTACGAATGCAATCAACAGGCGTTACAGCGGTGAGACAGGTGGCTTGTCTGGTGAAAGCAAGCGATGCATGAGCTACCAGGAGTTCCTGGAGCACTGCAGCGACGTCGAGAAGGAAAGAGTGAGAGATGTGTTCGGGGTGCAACTCATGCAAGTAAGTCGACCGTGTTCGGCGCTTTATCATCTATCTGTGTGTGGTTTGTTACAGATAAGGCATGTAACGGAGGACATAGCTCTTTCCATCCTGGACAGGTATCCAACTGTGTTGGCTCTGGCTCAAGCATACACTGCGCTGGTAAGGATTTGTTTATTTTCTTGGAGTTGGGCTTATATCTCGTTGACAGGAAGGAGATGTTTCCAAACAAAAGAATCTTTTGACAGGGCTTGGGATTCTAAACAAGAACAAATCCATTAGCAGTGTAGTGAGCAGAAACGTTTACAACTTTTTCTGGGCTCCATGACGATTTTTCTACTTGCAACCGTTGGCTAAAGGATAGTATACAGCTCTTTTGACTCCCTCAAATCACATTATAACCCAGGCTGTGATCTTGCGAGCTCACACCGAGGTCAGCAAACAAGATAACCTGTTTCCTCATTAATGAAGCTTGCATTTCGTGCAGGCATAGAAATCTAGTCTGGTATCTATTTAACGCCGCTGAAAGTTGAAGTGCTTGATGCAAAACGCGAAGACGAGGATAGAAAGGATGACAAATGCCACATGCACGCCGGCCATGAGGCCCAGAAAGTCGTAGCGAAAGTTGAACCGGTCCCTGATAAAATCCTCCACTCGGACTGGTGCTTGCTCTGGTATTTGCATGAAGGATTTCACGTCTCCGAGCTGGGAAGTTATCAAGCCGTATAGAGTCCATGCAACGGGAGAAATCCAGTAATACCACTGCCACCACACGGGGATTTGCTGTATCGGTACAAAGCAAAACATGTTAACGAAGTAAGTATTTTCCAGTCTTTCTCTTACCGAGTATGGAATCAGGAATCCCGAGAAGAGGTTCCACATGATATAGAAGAACGACGAAATAATGGCAGCGAATTGTCCATTCGGAGAGAGAGCAAGGATCATCATCCCGTAGAGCGTGAAGTACCAAAAACTGAAGAACGAGAAGAACATGAACCAGAAGAACTTGACGACTGTCCACTCGAACTGGACCATTGGATAAACTACAAGCCCGAAGATTATTGTCTGAGTCAAGAGATAAGGGACCTCAATAACGACCTGTGAATCCATTGTCAACTCGCATGAGAAAAGAAAGAAAAGAAAGAACTCTTGTACCTGGGCGATCGCGTATGGCAGCGGAGAATACATTCCAGCAGCTCTTTCTCGGTAATAAACGGTGCGTTCTATATCGACAACTGGTATCACAGATGCTGCATTGTTCACTCCTACGAAGAGAACTACCAGATACAAAACGCCGATGACGTTGAAGACGTCTTGCTGAGTATCCCTGCAATGCAAGCTTGTTTGGTATGACGAACAAGAATGAAGAAAGGAGATCGTGTACCTTTTGGATCCACAGCCCCAGAAGATGACCCCGAACATAAGCGAGACGAAGGCAGTGAAGAAGAGGCGAACAAGTTGATACTGAGGATTTCTCCAGTATGACCAGTACTGCTTCCACAGGCATGCTTTGCACTGCTCCACAAAGGTCTGGGAGAATGTTGACGTGAAGTACAAGTCCTTAGAACCAGGAGCCGGAGTGCTGAGCTCCTCCACGAGATCTTCATTGCGCCTGTGTATTAGATTGTGATTCAAGGCACCGTAATGCAAGACTCTGAACGCTTACTTGTACAGCGACGATTCCTTGTAGATCGTGGCGAAGTCTATCCTCAGCTGGCTCTCGACAGTTTGAGACGTTACATCTAGCATCCAAGTTGCTGGATTGATGCCATCACCAATCTTTGGAATTCCCTCGACGGCCTATATTTCATAAAGGTCAGTCAGATAGGCAGAGAAAGTTAACTTTTGGAGTACCTCGAGGTACTCAATCAGATGGCAAGAGTTTGTTCCCAATGGTCCTGCATAGATAACTTGGCCTCCACGTTTCATCAGCAAGAGCTTCACAATTCACAAGTCATTCCCTCAGAAGTTGCAAATATATGTGGTCTTACGTACCTCATCAAACATTTCGAAGATATCAATACTCGGTTGATGTATGGTACAGACAACGGTTCGGCCGGTTTTGACAGTGTTTCTGACGGCGCGCATGACCACCGCCGCAGCTCTTGCATCCAATCCCGATGTTGGTTCATCCATAAAAATGATGGACGGATTCGCAACAAGCTCCACTGCAATTGTCAGCCGCTTCCTCTGCTCGGTGGAAAGCCCGTTGACCCCAGGAAGGCCAACAAGACCATTCTGGACGGGAGTGAGCTCCACAAGATTTAAGACTTCTTGAACAAACATCTGCAGTTAATCCAGCCACCATTACGAGAATGAAAAGAACAATAAGACCACGCAAAAATTACCTTTCTGGTTCTGCTGTCAATCTCTTGAGACAGACGAAGCCATGCCGAGTAAGTAACTGATTCTCTTACTGTCACATATGGGGAGTGAATATCATTTTGCTCGCAGTATCCAGAGATTCGAGCAAACGTCTCTTGCTTTTTGGGAAACCCGGAGATATTGATGCTTCCCTCGATGTAACCACCTGTCTTTCTGCCTGCAAGGACGTCCATCAACGTTGTCTTTCCAGCACCACTCACGCCAACGAGTGCCGTAAGAACTCCTGGTCGGAAGGCTCCAGTAATGTCTTGTAGCAGCTGCAGCTTGTCGTCAGACACTCCTTGCTTCTTCATTTCCTGTTTTGCAATCCAGAATATGCGTCAAAACAAAAGGAAAATTCTTAAATGCACTCATACCAAAGGCATGTCAACGTAATAGTTGACATGGGAGAAAGAAATTGACAGGGGAGGAAACGGCAGCACCATCCCTGTTTTAGTTGCCAATGCCATTTCCATCCCTTCCACTGCTCAAAGGTAAAGTGTCAACGAAAAGAAGAACAATGGAAAATCGTACCGCTATCCCAGGTTTTACTGGCCTCGGAGACTGAAATGTCTTTGTCTTTAGTCTTTTCCTCCGAAATAGCTCCCCGAGAATTTTCGAAAGCTGGTATCAGAAACAGCAAGTTAGCAACTTGCACTACACGCAAGAAAGAACTTACGATCAAGATAGCTTAATGCGACAATGTACAGGAAATTGTACACAGCTCCGAACCCAAGCAAAGCTCCAACGCCAATCCAATACCAATACTCGTTCGTAAATAATCCACGAGATTTAAGGAAAGCAACTCCAACAGTATCTGAAGAATTAGAAGGCTACAACGAAAGTTTTGGTGAGCAACACAACAAACAGCAGCAAAGAAACATGTACTCTTTGCCAGCGATGGGCAAGAAACTCGTTGGCAGAGAGTGCATTCTGCGCATAAGACAGCGGTGTACTCCAGTAACCCCAAGTTAGCCAATTTGGAATGTTCTCTGCACAAAAATTCTTGCTGAGCGAGAAGGAAAAGCGACCAACAATGTTTACCTCTGGACAAGATAAAGCCTCCTAGTGCGCACATAAGCAGGAACTGGAAAGAGCCTAGAGTGTTTGCCACAACTATAGTTCGAGACAGTGCGCCAACCATGCGAAACAATCCCAGCGACATAATATGGAGACAAATGAAGAGGAGGAACTGCTTGAAAAACCTGCAATAGCCGTGTAGGCAAATCAACCATCAGGTAAAGAAAACAGTTACCTGCTAGCCTCTGGTGCAAAGCCTATAACATAGTAAGTGATGACGGTCCATATTGCAGAGTCCATAACAGACACCGGGATTTTCAAAAGTATGACTGGCAGTGCATACGCCCAAGCAGGATAGAACAAGAGGTCTCTCTGCTTGTAGAAAACTGGAAGATAGACGACGGTCATGGCCATTTCAGCCATCCCATTGAAGGCTACGTTGAGCAGGCCATAAAACAAAGCACCAAGGTACTTGTTTCCATCCCCGACGGTTTCATGATGCATTTCGGTACGCAAAAAGACTGTCATCCCGATGACTGAAACAATGCTAATCTGGAAAAGAGATAAGAATGTTGAATATTGGGAGATAAAAAGCAAAAAAAAAAAAAAAACAATAGTTGTTACCTGTATAGCCTTGAAAATGAAGAGGAACGAGTTTCTTCTCATCAACAGCCATTCTCTGGCAAGGCATGCCTGAAACAGTTCCCAGTTTGTTAATGAGAATTTCTCGGTAACCAGAGCCGCGGGATGGCTGGTTGACTTGTCAAACGGTCGTGATAACTCCGATACAAGTTGCTGACCCACGCTAAATTTTTTAAACGCTTCAACGAAGTCCTCCACGGAGACGTATGAATATGGCTCATCCAATGCCCAGTATTGACTTTGATCTTTTCTCGAAGTCACCTGATGCATGAACTAGTGAGTAGAGCTTAAAACCAAGTCTAAAGTCAGACCTCTTGTAGGAAATCAGCGACGCCTTTTCTTTCTGGACATCGGAATCCCTGAGCCTCGAAGAATTCAAGAACATTAGTACGAGGTCCTTGGTATACGATTTGGCCCTCGGACAAGAGAATAACGTCGTCAAACAGATCATATGTTTCAGGCGCCGGCTGCAGTAATGAGATGACCATAGTGCCACTCGTTGCATGAACGGATTGCTTGAGACACTTGACAATCTGATAAGTTGTTGAGCTGTCCAGACCAGTAGAAATCTCGTCCATGAAAAATGCTTTTACGGGCCCAACAAGCATCTCCCCTGGGCACAATTATAACCTTTGCTATTAAGAAAACTAAACAAGAAGATAAAGTACCTGTAGTGACTCTTTTCTTCTGACCTCCGGAAATTCCTCTCAACATGTCATTCCCCACAAAGATGTCTCCGCAAATGTCGAGACCCAGAATCTATAAGTTGATACAATTTGAGAACATTCTCAACAAAAAAACAAGAGTACCTTGAGAACATAGTCGGAAACTATACTTGTTCTTTGGCCTTGAATGGCTGAGGCCTGCAAATGCCAGCACAAATCCAGGTCAGGATCACGAGCAGAACATCACATACTTTCATAAACGCATCGATATCTGGATCTGGCTTGATTCCTGCTGCTCTCTCACGCTTGGCCAGTTCAGATAACATTTCTGCGTTGCAGGCAAGAGAAGTTGGAGTTTGTAGAGCTAGTAGCAACAACATACCGACCGTATGAAGAGCCAACACCTTGACAGCGCGATGAGAAGTCAAATGTCTCCCGTACTGTCAGTTCGTCCAGGTGTACGTCATTTTGACTGGTGTATGAAGCAGTTCGTTGAGGCACAAACTCGTGTAATTCATGACCATTGTAGGTAACACTTCCAGTTACCTGCAAATTCTAAAGTTTAGGCAGTGCAATATGGTCCATTTCAGTCTGACCTTCAAGTCATCGCTGAGCTTCCCAGAAAGAGCGAGAAGAAATGTGCTTCTTCCAGATCCGGGAGGTCCAAGGAGCAGCGTTATCCTGGAAAAGCTCCCGATTTACGCAAGGAAAGAGATGGACATGAAACCGACCTCGATGGTTTTATTATCCCGCTAATGTTGTTTAGGACGGTAAGGGATCTTTTCCTGGTGGGGACAAGGCGCACCATGTCCAGTATGCTCTGCAGCATGCAGATTTGAGAAACATCGGACACAGGCAGATGAGTTAAAACCTCTATCCAGTTGAGTGTTGTGTTCCATAGCGTTGGCAAAGCCCTGCTTCCACCGTGAACGCGTCCAACGACATGAAGGTGTTTGAAACGAACTTCAATCTTTTAAGCCGACCCTGGACAAGAGTAGGAGATCTTAGTTTGAAAAGTCAAGCAAAAACAGGAGCGAGAGATACCTGTCAATCCTATCCCGTAGCTTGGACAAGAACAGCTCGTTGTCTTCTTCGCCAATCCCAATGATCGTCTGCACAATCCTCTGCTTGTGCTCGACATCGAGCTTTGAAAGTTTTTCGAAACCCGGTCACAGCGTTTTTTCCATGGTTACGATGCTGGTGATGGTGGTGGTGGCGGTGGTGATGCTTACTTCGACGATGTTTTGCTACTCGAGCCTGCCGCGCTTGAACGTACTGGATGACATCTTTGAAGGCAGCATCACGGTGCGTGGGAGAAGACTCGGAATCAAGCTCTAGTGCAAGCTTCTCGTCTCTCAGCTTGGACCTGGGTGCATCCCTGTGAACGACACTGAAACCGATGCTTGTGCTTCCATCGCTGGCCTCGAGCACGGATCGGATGTCCAGAGAATGAGCAGCAGCAGCAGCAACAGTCGATCTGATGAGCACAAACAGCAGCAACAATGGTTTGGAAGGCTGCATTGTTTGCTCTTCTCTGGAGCGAGCAAGCTCCTTTTATGGGCAACGTCCGGCCCATCCATCTGTGGAGTAACGTAAGAGGCCTGTTCTCGAGGGGTGGTGGCAAGAAGCAACTTAAGCTGGAAGCCGTTTTGGTTTATGCTTAACATCCGAGATTGACACAATCACAAGGTGGAAGATTCTACTTCCTTGTACAAGCCTCAAAAATCCAGGACACCAGGAAAAGATGGAAGTTTCATCTATGATCTCTCTCATCAGGTACGTGTCAATATGATCTTCCACATTCTAACATTCCAATTGTGCTTTTTTGTAGCTATGTGTGATCGGGCGGAAGCGATTCATCACAAGGAAAAGGTAAGCTTGCTGTTGTGTCTTTGTTACTCTAACTTGTGCTTGCTTTGTTTCCAGAGCTCTTCAATCGATGAGAGAAGGAAGTTGTGATCGTCTGGGCGGTGGTGGTGGCGATGGTAGCAGCAGGAGCGCAGGGCGTGAAGCTACTCTCAGCGAGGAATCCATTCCAGTCAACCAAACGCTGGCGGATCTCGATCATGGCACTTACTGGAACAGCCTCAACCAGACGCTTTCGACTGTGTCGCAGGACTCGACAACACTGCTCCCACTTCCAGGTGTGATCCTGTGCGAGAGAGTGGAAAGAAAAAAGAAAGAGATCTTCCATAAAAGCTTGGAGGAGATCTTCTTTACGTTCCAGCGACCAAGTCGAGAAGAAATAAACATCCAATAAAGGCCCCCGTGATAAAAGTGGAGGACGATTAACCTCCAACCCACATCGCCAATTGGAAGCATCCAGGTCGTGGACCGCGCCAGGAAATGTGAAACAGAGCCCAGCGATGCTGCTTTCTCGGGCTGCCCGTCACCCTCCGCCGCCATGGCCGATGCCCACCGCCACCACCACGAGGAGCGCCAGGAGGAGGACGAGGGTGGCGGCGGTGGCGATGAGCAAATCCTCCACTCGTCAAAGGGATGCTGCCGCTTCCTGCGATCGCTCCGGGCGCTGGTGGTGGTCACGCTGGTGCTCCACTTGGGCATCTCCGCGCTGGGCACCGCAATGGCTGTGGTGTCGTCCTCCTCCAGCGGCTGCCCACGATCGCTGCTAGTGGCGGTGGCGCTGGTTGCTAGCGGCGCTTGCGCGCGAGTGGCTTGGGTGGTGGGCACTGGCTTGTGCCAGGCCGCCACCGCGGTTACCATGATCGCCGAGGAGCACGTCCCAGCTTCTCGGAGGAGGACGAGCGGCGCCACCAGCGCGGCGATCAGGATTGGGAGACGGGTAAGAAACAAGCAATGTGGATTCTCATCTCTTTTTTCTTCCTTGTGCTCTTGCTCGAGCACAGACTTGGTATCGAAGGTGGCTATGGTGGGGACGATTTGGTGTTCTTGTCACCTCCTTCCAAACAGGAGGAGCTTGCTACTTGACCATCTTGGCTGTGAGGAACGGTCGTTCATCCTTTTGCTTTCCTGGTAAGGATCAAGCACTGTGTTCTTCTCTTTGTTCTAGCTCTATAGGATCTTCTCTCTCTCGTGTCACAGGCCCTGACGCGGCGGCATTGTTGCGAGACACGCTTGTCATCCTTCCCATCGCTACATGGCTGCTCGTCTTGGCACAGTGTTGCGTTGGCTCGGACGTGCTCTCTTGGAGGTCGCTCTACGAGATGCAACACGAGGCATGGCGCGCTCACTACCGCGAGATTTTCGATCGCGGCATTCGAGAGCTGCTTTGCTGCCTTGGGCGATCGAGATATCTGTGAGTCGCGAAAGAAAAATCGCTTTTTTCTTGTGTGCTCATCCAGTACTTGTGAATGAATCTCCAGGACAACCATGGATGAAGACGAGGTTGATACGGTGGCAGCACTTTTAGGCGATCTCGTTGCATACCGTGCTGCCGGTGCAAGCCATCTCGAGTTTCTCGCTGGTAAAGATTCATGGATAGAACTTGCAAGCAAGTTTTTAAATTATCTTTCTTTGTTTCTACAGGTGTTGCTCTTCTGAGAACTCGCAAGTCCAAGCCTCCAGTTCCGAAAGATCTCCCTCCGGCTCCCGGTCCTCTGGTCACAGAAGCTGCTCTTCTCCATCCATATGCCGTGGCTGCGTACACGGTTTGCGATTGTCAAAACAATGCTCTCAGCTTCAAAGGGTTCTCTTGCTGATCTTCCCAGGGACCATTGCTGGACATTGGACGCACACCGCTACTCTTTCCCTGTGCTTGGATGTACCGGCAAGGACTCCTCAGCTTATGGAACCGCAGAAGGTAGCTCGAGTTTTTCTTTCGTCTCCGAGAAACAGCTAACTAAGCTTTGGCTTGCAGGAGCCCGAGTGTCGACGGTGATAATTGGTGGCGAGGCCATGCGACTGCGTTCCTTCGTGCTGCTCGCCTCCCAGCCGAGGCGCTCTTGAAAGGAAGGATTCACCAGGTTTTGATGTTTGTAGCGTCAGAAGTTTCCCGCGAGCTGACTTGGTCACTCACTATTTCAGAGAAACCGAGAGACAGTCTACTTCGTGATTGAGTTGAAGGAACTCAAGTTGGTTGTTGTCGCTGTTCGTGGGACTGAAACACCGGAGGATCTTCTCACAGATGGCCTGGGACGTGAATGCATCCTTGCCGACACTGATTTTCAAGGATTGTTCATGTAAGTAGTGCTCTCGCTCTCATTCCCTACAAGTTTGATACTCTACGCAGGTCTGGTCATTTGTCTGACACAGCAAAGCGTGAAATCTCGTCGTCAAATCCTCACTATGGCCATGCCGGTGTGGTGGCGGCGGCCAGAGAGCTTGCCTTCGAGCTGGACAGCCCTGAAGATAATCCCGAGCTTTCAGGTTTCGAAAGAAAACTCTTTGCTCATGTTTAAGTTTGTTTTTTCATTTCTTTAGCAGGCAGCTCTGGATCATCGAAAAAAACTGGTTTTCTGACTTCCATACTCGGTCCCGGTGGGAAGTGTGAAGGCTTTTCTTTGAGATTTACCGGACACTCGCTGGGTGGATCGATTGCTGCTATGGCAGGAATGATGGTACGTATGCTTGAGTTTTTCCTCTCTTCTTTTTCAATCTCTTTCTCTTTTTCGAGCAGCTATGGCACCGCTTTCCAAACTTACACACTTACGGATATGGCGTTCTTCCCTGTGTCGACGCTGTTATCGCAGAAGCGTGCTCACCATTTGTAACAAGGTAGGCCGAAAGTTTCTTTCATCCTGCCCTGACCGTCCACCACCTTTTAGTGTTGTGTATAACGACGAGTTTGCATCGAGGATGTCCGTGGCTTCGCTAATGAGGCTCCGCGCGGCCTCGCTTCGAGCTCTAGCAGCGGACTCGGACACCTCCGAGTCGGCAGTGATAGCGAGAGTGGCCAGAAGGCTCTTCGGCTCATGGAGGCGAGGCAAAGCTTCCAATGGAGTGGCCACTGGCAAAACTTCCAATGGAGGAGCCACTAACGAAGACTCCAATCCAAGTCCCGGTGGAGCAACGCAGTACAAGCGTGGCAAATGCGGCCACAAGCTCAAAGGTGGAGCCTTTCTTTGCTACCATGCTTGTCACTGTGTCATGGGCATGCCCAAGGGCGCTCATGGCAGCTCGACCGTGGTAATGGGAAGGCCGGTTGTTTCCACGGCCAATGGTAGTGTTAATGGTAACGGTGGTAAGCTAGAGGTGACCAAGGTGGTATCCGGGGAGGTTACGGTTGACGAGAACGGTTCTGACGGGATGGTTGCTTCCCTGGATGCAGGATCTCGAGATAAAATCTCCAAGACCCGAGATGCCCGAGATGTCCGAGGTGATGTCCGAGGTGACGAACTCGGTTCTTGTGGCGAGTTTCTCCGAGGTGTAGTGAGTGGCGAGCTGCTTAGCAATGGGATCCCGGGCCAAGGCGAGAATGGTCTCGTAGGATTCAAGCCGGGGTCGGACTTGCAAGAGATATGGCCGGTGGAGCTCGTGATGCCGGGCTTGGTCATTCATCTGGTTCGTGTTCCAGACGAGGCACCAGGCGCGTCTTCGTCTTGGTTTGCGCGGAGGAAGAAACAGCACCGAGCGATCCTGAGAGACCGAGATGATTTCCGGGACCTCGTGGTGTCTCCCTCGATGTTCCTGGATCATATGCCATGGAGGTAACGTCGCCAACCTTGGTTCTTTTCTTTCGTTCTTTGTTGTTGAGATTCTGTGCTTTGCAGGTGCCAGCGCGGGTTGAACGACGTTCTCAAGCAAGTTTGCACTCGACCACTTCACGCGGACGCGGAATCACAAAGCAGCCAAGTCGATGGTTTCTGAAGAAAACTTTCAGTTGAAAAGAGTGGAAATGACAAGCTCTTGCATGAATTTGACTCGCAAGTTTGCTTCCTTCAGTTTGTCGCACTGCTCCTCCGGGGACAAAGCTGCAACCTCCAGCCTGTGTTTGGAGAGGAAGATTAGAACCAAGACAACCACGAGGTAATGCCATACCTTTTGTGTGAAGATTGGCTTGCGTGCGAGCTATCAGAGAGCGTGGTGAGGAACGGATCCACTGTGTTACTGGGCGGTGGAGGGCCTAACAACGCTTGCAGATGGATCTCTCTAAGTTCCTTGGTGAGCAAAGCCAAAGTTGCGTTTGATGCTAGTGCTCCTGATCTTCGAAAACGCCGCCGTCTCTGGATGTGGATGTGTAGTCAAGGAGAATTATCTGATTTTGTTCGTGTTTCAAAACGTTTGAAAGGATATCTTGAAAAGCTGACTGTGGTCTAGCATTATGTGGCCGGCCATGTCTTTCCAAACTTTGGTTCCACAGATCGGACAGACCTGAAGCTAGATGAACTTAGCACATCGCTTGCAATAAACAAGAGAAAGAAAAGAAAAAATCTAAGGAAACACAGGACAGCAGCACATACCAAACGCACAGAAACTAAAGGCACTTACTGCAACCTTAGACTCATAGCAGTGCTCGTCTTCTAAATGCGAACAAAGGACAGCAACGTCGTAATCTTCGTAGCAATAAGGACACGAGTACTCGGTACGCGACTCATCCTCGTCTGGATTATCTGGCGATGAAGAGAAAGAAATGAGAAACCATTCCAGAGATTTAGATATCCCCCGTACCTGATTGCTGGCGCTTGGGAGTTGACGAGGAAGCAGAAGAGGAGGACGAAGTGGAGGGAGCGACCGGCGCTGCAGACTTATGGTTCCGGTGACTGCTGTTACAAGCATCTCCATCGCCATCCATGTCGCAAGTCTTTGCCTTGGCCTTGCCAGTGGTGGTAGCGTTGGTGGCACGACCAAGCACCCGCCAGCGGCCCCCCTTGGGGGCCGGCCGCGGCCCCGGTACTATAACGGCCCCAGGTGCTAAGAGGGGTCCGACAAAGCCTCCGCCACCACCACCACCTCCGCTTCCTCCTCCTCCTCCGCCCCTCCCCCGTCCCCTGGCTAGCACCTCCTCGACCGTCACTTGCGCTAACCTTGGCTGCTACTACGCTAGAACAATGCATGGAAAAAGGATGTAGTTCCGCCTCTTCCCTGGCCCTGCTTTGCTTTCTCTCGCTTTCCCTGTGCCTTGCGCCTGGGCTTTGTGTGCTCGCTGAAAGAAGACGACGCACCACCCGGCCACCGTGGACGCCACGTGGCCGCCTAGTCGGGCCAGTTGAAAGAGCTGCGTAGTAACTCCTTGGGCACACGTCCGAATCCCTGGCTGATGCGTAGCATCGCCTCAAACTCGTCGCGGTCCTTCTTCAGGCCGGAAAGTTGCTGGAGCGCCCTCTCCATGAAGGCGTCGTAGCTCTCCAGCGATTGCTTGGACGAGTTGGACGGTGGCGGCAGCAGCGACTTGTCGGATTCCAGTTGCTGGTACTGCTTCAGGATGCGATCCATCTGTTTCGTCAGCTTCTCCCTGGCGGTCGCGTACTCTTGCTCTTGAGCGCGCTTGAGGCCTTCCAGCGCGCGATCAATCTCTAACTGGTACTGCGGGATCAAGGAGTTCGCCGGGGGGACGACCTCGCCAGGCTGTGGAGTGAGGACGAGAGCTTTGGAGAGTGCACAAACGGCACCATCTTCGTCCAAGGGTGAAGGAGCCGGAGGAGCCGAGGAAGTATCAACCGCCATAGCTTCTTCTGCCGGAACAGCCAAATCCATCTTGTCTCCACGCTCGGGCTCTGGATCTCGCTCCGAGTTGCTAGCCTCGCCTGGAGCTCCAGAATCTACAAGGGGAAAACCAAGCGGGTGGAGTTACATCCTCGTCGAGAAGGACGAGTCGAGTCCTCTTACCGACGTGATTCGAGTTTCCATTGCATGGATCGTTACACATCCGCGTCAAAACGGCTTGTATGTCGTCACCATTCTCGGCCTAGAGGTAGAAACACACCCATCTCATCAAACGAGGAAGAAAAACTTAGCTATGGTGGTACCTTGACGAGAATGGTGCTGACGAGCGTCTCGAGCCTCTTGAGCCCGGCACGACGAGTGTTGGTGACAAGCCTGGACGCGAGCTTGGCATTCCCCTCGGCCAGCTGCTTGCTGGGAGCCGCCGCCACCGCCTGGACGAGAAGAGAGACGCGGGACAGCAAATCCGTGGTCCTGTCACACCTCCGGCACAGATACTCCACATCCAGCCCGCTCTCCACCACCACTCCCGCCAATCGGCACTGGATCGCGCACTCGAGATGCACGGAGTGGCCGCAGTAGCCGCCGCTGGCGCTCACCCTCTGGAGGCACTGGATCCACTCGTCCTGCCCCTCCGCGATGGCGCGGCTGCACAGGATGCACTTGCATTGGGGGCAAAATCCCGGCTCCGCGCAGCAAACGTCGCAGCGGAGGAGCGGCATAGCACCGAGGAGCAGGACGCTGCTGCCATTGCTCAGCGCACACTCGGGATTCTCGGCCTTGCACTGGAGCCGCCGCCCTCCCGCCATAGCGCAGCCCTTTTGCCCTAAAAGGGTATTATCCTTCCGGGGTTTTGGCAATTAAGCTATTTTTTATACTTAGATTGCTTTTTAAAGTACTTTTAGGGCTTTTTGGTTATGGAAGAAGCCACATTTCGCTCGTTCGTGGCGCTGTGGCTCAAGGGGATTCTCGACGAAGCGGCTGGAGGTGGAGATGGATCGCTTCTTCCTCCTTCATTCGCCCAGGCGCTACTTGCCGCTGATCCTTGCGTCGACCAGGAGCCAGATTGCTTGGAGGATGAGCTCGAGCTTGTTCGCTCTTGCTGCCAAGGTTTGCCTTCGTTCTTTCTATCTCTAGCTGGGAAAAATCGAAATTTGTGCTTCAGTTGATCTCGACAAGGCTTGTATCGAAGGAGTTCCTGCGTATCCACTCTACAAGCAGCTGGCTGCGAACTTGTGTCGCTCCCTCGAGGATTCCAAGACCCCGGTCTTGGATAATGCGTCGGAGCTTGAAGAGGGCGAGGATCAACGAGACAGGAAACGCGAGTTTCACGCTCGGGTGAAGCAACACCTTGCTCCTCTGGCGGAGGTCTGTGCTTTTCCTCGTAACTTAGCTAAGCTGATTGCTGCTTGTTCATTCAAGGCCTTTCACGGCGTAAGGTTTCGACTACACGTCCAAGACAGGTTCCTGTCTCAACTGCGAGGTGCGATGTGTTTTTTTTAGTGTATCGCATTCTCATGCCTTGTTTTCTTTCATTGTTTTGACCACTCTAGATGGATCGAAGATAGTGGAAGGGAGGTGCGCAACTGGTTTCTATTCAAGGTGTGGCAGTAACATACTCTTGAGTACACAGTTTTCTCTTCTTTTGCCTTTTTTCTGTGTAGAATCCGCCCTGGAGATTATCTCCTCTTTAACGGGGTTCTGATTATGGAAACGAAGGTCAGTAAATGCCGATGATAGTGTTCATATGTCTATATCCCCTTCTGCAGGACGTTCGGGCATACGAAAGCTTTCAGGACATGCTGGAAACGGAAGGGCTTGAGAACGTCCTTCCTGGTATTGAAAGCGTGGAAGAAGGTAGCTCATGAAACCGGTCGATTGCTTGTCAAGATTTTCTTGATGTAGGCATTGGCATCTACCGTGGTTTCTACTCCAGGGAAACTGAAGCTCTCGGTGTTTTGGCACTTCATGTCTCCCAACCAATCCAGCCTCGCAACGCTGTCACTGCGCTGCTGCAAGTGCGTAAGAGTTGCTTGAGTTTGTCTCGGTCGAATAACAAACTCTTTCTCTCAGAGCCTCAAAGTCGAAGGCGTAGCGTCACTTCTTGGACTAAGAGCAACAAAAGGAACACTTGTGTCTGCCCTTCCACCGCCGAGATCTCGTCTTCTCGCATCTTTTCTTGCGAGAAATTCAGAAAGTGTAAAAAGTATAATTGTACTTGCCTTGGCTAACAGTTCGCTTCGTGCCAGGTACCCTCCAGTAAGCTCACTGTAGGAGGCCGTGCGTTGGCCAAACATGTGAATCGAAGTTCTGCTGGCTGGTGGGGTGCTTGCAGTGGAACAGGTCTGCTCTATTCTTTGCTTGTTTTCAGTACGGAAATACCTTCTTTCTCTTTTCTGCTTAGAAACTGCAAAGAACAAGGTAGCGTTGAAAGCGGTGTGTCGAATTATTGATCAAGCTTCCTGGATGAACACACACCATCTTCCTCAGTCAACACATATATTTGAGATCCGTGTACAAGATGGATATGGTGCAAGGTGGTCATCTGATGGAAAGCAGGTATACGATCTACACACAGCATTTTTTTTATTCGCACGGTAGTTCAGAGGTTTCGTGGAGCCACCCATGAAGGACGGCCATTCTTCCAAATGGAGGCATTGAATGGTAGCTGTGTTGGAAACATCAGATCCGTATTGGTTTTACTTTGAGAGGTGCCAATGGATTTCTCGGTACAAAACTTGGTAATCTTGCGATTCCGAAGTTGATATTCTTCTGGGACTGGATTTACTGCAAGAGAACGATACGTCGATCTCTTCTTCCTGAAAGGTACTTAAGTTTCTCGGTTGTTTCTGTGCTTTTCTCTCACAAAGTCTTGTGTTTCACAGATGAAAGCTTGAAAAGTAGTGGTGTCCCATTCAATCTGCTACACAGCCTGGCTGGTTCAAGTAAGTAGACGATGGTTTTACTTTGCTTCACTTCCAGTTATCAGAGCTCTAACATGATCGACAGCTGCGTTGAAGCCCGTATGGCATGGATCCTTGTCCAGGACGTGGAACAATTAAAAACACCTTTAGCACGGTAGGGTTTACCACGTTGGCATGCATTTTGTAACCTAAAACTTTCACTAGTGTTAGCAGCTAGAAGTAGTACTTGGCCTTTGGTGTGGGACTGATGCATATGTGAGACCTTCTCCTTCTCGTTAATGTCTATGTGTTGAGTACAGACAGGTTAGTTTCTCCCACGAGACACACCCATTTGATTCCATGAGGTAAGTCATTGCATTTTCCCAAGGGATTATAGTTCTCAAACACAAAAGCAAAAAATCAAATATATTTAAAACTTACAACACAATTATGTATAAACATAAATGCTGTTTAGTTCTTTTTTAGTTGCCAACTAAAGAAGATAACTTTGATGCATACCTCACATTTCATTGCTAAACCTACAATGTGTAATTGGTGACAAACATCTATTTATTAAATATATATTAAGTTTAATATTTTTATTCTATTATTTTTTAAGAAAGTAGTTAATAAAAAAATCTTTTAAATAGTAAATTGAAGTGATTTCAACAAAGAATTTATAAAAGTTTTATTTTTTAACAAAAATTTATATACAGTAAAGTTAAAAAAAACTTGGCAATGCTATTTTAAAGTAATTTGTCATTCTCACATAAATGTAGAAATTCTTTAATTTTTTATATTTATTTAATCATTTTTTATATTTATATAATCATTCAATTTTATAAACTTGTAATCATTTATATATGGCATTATGTTATAAAATAAAAATAATTAAATTAATACAAATATAAATTTATATTGATTGACTAACAACTTTTTTAACTGAATATATTTATAATTATATATCTTTAAGTATTATAAATCATGTTATATTAAGCTTAATGTTATTGAAAATATTATAAATATAAAAATGTTTGCTATCAAATACTAAATTTTAGCTGAACTAGTTTCTTCTTATATTCAAGAATAGTTATAATAAAATTGTAGCAACAGTTTAGTAATAAAAGTTTGATAAAATGAATGTCAAGATGAATATATTTTTGAACTTTATACTTAATTATTTACTGGATCTATTTATTAAATAATAAATAAATAACTTATTTAAGTGTAATAAAGGATAAAGTTTTTCTTATTTCATAAAAAGAACGCCTATTTTAAATTTATTTATTTATAAAATTTCCTTGTAATACCTCATAATAAATTTTAATATATAAATTATTTTTATATTTATTTTACTAATTTTATCTTTATTTATCATTATTTCACTAATAAGAAACTTTAATATACTAAATTATTAACCCATTATATATCTAATTTTAACTAATAATGTTTTTTCTAGATTATTAATTCTTATATTATACTAACTTTTATTTATACCAATTTATACAATTTTGTTTTTTCTATCAAAGAGGTTGACCTGACTCAAATATCTTTTAACACAATATATTGTTTTATAATTATTATTTTCAATATTTTATAGTGTTTTACATATATATATATATATATATATATATATATATATATATATATATATATATATATATATATATATATATATCTGTGTGTGTGTGTGTGTGTGTTTTATAATACACTAATTATAGTACTATAGTATATAAATTGTCCATTTGAGACTGAATCTAATTCAAGTAATGTTTTACTCTATTATTTGGGATTGTGCTTTTTATTCTTATTTCTTTATTCTCTTTTAGATCTAGACCTGTATTAACTTTTTGCAAAATCTAAAATTCTAGCTATTATTATGTTTAGCTTTGCTTTCTTTTCTAATTTTCATTGCATTTTCTTCTTCTACCATACCACACTTTCATGAATGAAGGAGTATATCACTTGAATGCTTTATTTCGTTAAAGTGAAACTTATTTAGTAAAGTGGGACATTAATTAGCATGTGTCCACATGCCATTTCTTAGTACTTAATTAATATTTATTAATATTTCTATCAGTTTTTTAATTTATTTTTTATATTTCACAATATTATAACACAAAATCATATGAAAAGTTTTTAATTTATAAATTATAAAGCTAAAACTTCAATTTTTTATTGTTGTTATAAAAATGGCATGTGGCCACACACCATAAGTGGGATAATGAAAAGTTCCACTTTAACGAAATAAAGCATTTGAGGCTATTGATACAACTTCGTTAAATTGAGCTTTTTATGTTATGGGGTGTGATCATATTAATGTTACGCCCATCCTTTGTATATAGCTGTCTTCAACTTTCATAGGATATGATTATATAGGTTGTTCTATTCTCGGTGTTCTATCATTTTCCATTAGTGTGGAATATGGATCGTGACATCAATTGGCAAGCTATAGAAGATGAAATTTAGTGCTTGGAGAATGTTTGAGGATTGAGTTTATAGAAAAATAATGTATACAAAGTCAAGTGGATTCCAAATTATGATGACAAACTTGATTATTTTGGAGATAGATTTGGAGATGAGTTGGTGTCGCGAATGTGACTATAGGTATCAAAAGTTACCTATTAATTAATCCTTTTAGATATTCTTTATTTACTGCCACAACAGTAGAAAGTCAGTATTGTTAGACCCTTTATCAATCCCTCTTGTTCAAGTGTTATTAAACTTGAGTTAGCATCTATACTTAACCGGACGAGCATAAGGAAGGATTCTTAATTATCAATTTAGTTAAGTATACTTGGACAGGCTTGTTAATTCTCTTTTGCTCTATCCTACATTAGTTTGACAAGAACCTCTACGATATTAAAATTATTCCCTCAATATTCACTAAATGATATTTTATTTGTTAAACACCCTCACTTTCAT